TTCTGAGGTGACAGAAGGCATCTCTCTGCCACGCAGTACTTTTGGCGGTCTCCGATTGTTCTTTGTTCACAGCGACTAATTATTTACCGAAAAAAATCCAATCAAATGACTCCCTTATCTATCACCTTTTGATTACACCCCCTTGACAGTGTAACATTAAGTACAAAAAGGTAAAAAGGGTACTAAAACTGGAACGACGTAACTAACAGAAAAAACCACAGAAAGCATACATGACGGCTAAAGTTATTCTTAGCTCATCATATACCCAACCCAACCAGCAATGTGGCCGTTATTGTTCTAAGCTACTCCCAATTGCTAAATTTTAAATTGGTAAGCCTGATAAGCTAAATGAGTGAACGACCTGTAACGATCCGATGGAACTCTAGATAGATCTTAGGGAGCTTCGGTGCTAACTTCGGTTACATTGATACCTCCATCCATGGACCTGCATTATTCGGTTACGTTTTAGGAGCTCTTTTATCCTATTGAGGGGTTCTAATATGTCTGATCTTTTTTGAGATACGCCGTGGACTTTACCTTCACCCAAGAACGCATAGGAATCTAAAGGTATATGGACCAACTTACACTATGGCATTTGGGCAAGGCAGTGCTGCACTGTCCACCTAGTACCACCTGACGATCTCGGAAAAATAAAGTTCTTTAGAAAAATAAAGGTGAATAAGGATAAAGACTTTAGGGCATAACTTTGACTCTGGAAGAGACTCGAACCTTCCACTGTGCTTCCCGGATCCTGAGCCCTTTTAATCCTTGAACAACCAAACCATCTTGTCTCTGTCCGCTTTCCATTTCTTTTACTCAATGAAAAGCAAGTTTCGGTACCAAGCAAGTGTAGGTGTAGGGAAGCCACTTGCCATTGCTCGCCTCCACCCTCTACCTTTTAATATTTGTTTGCTTATGATAACACGGTACTACTGCACCCAATAAAGGAGAGAACAAAAAATGTGCAGATATGTAGGAATGTCATTGCTGTGGTGCTATGTATCATTTATTTGCCTCTGATCTAAAGATTAAATTAAGCTCAATGGGAGTGCATTAAAAGAAAAAAGCTGTTAGCAATTTTTAAGTCGAATTCAAAATGTTCTGGTTATGAGCCACTTCAATTACCAAGCTGTCCCTGGCGTTGTTTATAATTATCCCCTTTAGTTCTTACTGGAGTCATAAAGTCTGTTGTGACAGGACCGGCGATAATCGCCACAAAAATACAAAAATTAGCGCCAAGTGGTAGAAACTTCGAGTAGTTTGCAAAGCTAGGATTGGAACTCAAAGGGAAAGAGGTACGCTCTTGGAATAAGGAGGGAATCGTCAGTGAAAAGTCTACAAGACCTTAAAAAGTGGATTGATCAGAAAACAGAGACAACAATATTATCAACTCTATCAAAAGGGAAGCGTATGCAGTCTCGTTGACCTTCGGCAAGCCTATCACAATGTATGATGATATGGGGAGTAGCCGGAATGTCGAACACTCGTTTAAACTGCTAGAAATGGTTCAATGATGCATGCTTCACACAGCAGCCATCCATGAGAAACTACAATTTATGGTACCTATAAAAGCTTCAATCTCAAGAAACATTGCCTTTTTCGTCATTTAGAACGGAATCGGTCTCTAGAGATTTTTTTCTGATCTTAAATGTAAGCGATTGAAAAATCACGATCGATAAGTTGCCCAAAAAAGGGGTTTGGATAAAAAAAACATCCAGAATACATGAAAGTCGTTGAAAAATGTCTTGCGAATGACCCTTTTTGTATAATTTCTGGGATCAAACGAGTTTAAGACGACGAAAAAGGTGTTTGGACGAGATTTCAGTCGCTGCAAAGGGACGTGTGTCAGCTGTGAGCGTGTATCAGCTGGCCGCCATGACAACAAGCGCGCTCCATTTTGGATAACATCGGCCCCTACAAGGCACCTAAATACGTCCTTCCTTGAGATGTTAGATGTTGCCAACTCTGAGGTTTCTTCACGAAACAAGACGATAAAGCATTCTGTTATCAAATCAATCTCTTCAAAGAGAACAGAATGAAGAGAAGCTCATTGTACCATTCTGATAGTGATAGAGTAAATTGGTGAGAGAGAATGAAACTTGGAAGTGCTAATTGAAGAGACGTTTCTAAACCAGTGGCAGTGCATATCATGCCTTTGTGAGCAATGCGATAGGTCTCACTTATTAAGGAGTTTGAAAAAAACCGTTTAGATATCGATTGTCATGCATTAGTCAAGTGATAAGCGAGTGGGAATCAGTCGCAGGTGAGAGGGAAAGGCGCGATTAATGCTTAGCAAATAATCTCGCCTCGGTCAACTTAGCCCGATAGCGTTTGATAGAGCAAGGATCGGTCGACAACTAACTCATTGGACAAACATTTTCGTTGGCATTCGTTCACAGCTGGCATGGCGCAATGGCTACAACAGATGCACCTGCTCACACAGCATTGGATATCCTACTTGGGCAGCTGGGGTTGCGGAAGTAAGTAAAGCTGATTGCAAGGTCTCACGAACTAATCGGTCTGATGCCATCCTCTCGGAGTCGGCTAATTACATTTCGGGAGTCAGCTTCCGCAAACCTTTGAATGAGCCAAATTTCGCTACAACTGGAATCAATCAGAAACCAAACGAGGGACCAGGGACAAAATCCAAGATGTAAGTTACCACAGAAAAACGGAATGAAAGTGTCCAACACGTTTTCTGACAGATCGCATTCGGACCACCATTTCAGTTAGTAGATTCGAAGCTCCTTATAGTTCAAGCCATGCAGAGCCCACTGCTTGGGGTTGTCCTTTTTCCCATTCGAGCTGAATCGTGCACCTAGGCCAATCATACCAATTATTTCCACTTAGTTCACAGCGTCTTCTTACCCTTGCGGAACTTCACGATAACATGGTTTCTGAGATTTCTCAACGGGATGAATTTGAGCCCCTCGCGCATACCATATCTGGCGCTATTAGGTCGGAAAACAGCCTAGTTAGGGAGAAATAGAGGCTCAAAGATAAGCCCGTTTGTGATCCTCGGACGAGTTTCACCGGCATTGTAGAGGCTACACCGAGAGAATCCATGTAGGAAGTTCAAACAACTTCTCATGTACCATAGCGACAGTGAAAGACAGTTCTGTACAGTTCTGGCTTGATGTAGTCAGCTCTTTGTGCAATTGCGATAACTGAAATCTCGTCCGAATAACCCTTCCATGTTATTTCCTCTATGGCAATCTCGTCCAACCTCCATTTCCCCTACTTTNTGTGTCTTTAAGACTGTGGTCAGCCGTTTTTTGGTAGTCCCCAAATAACACTGACTTGTCTGGTTTCTGTGGTAATTCCCTGAGTGGGACGAAATCACACTACATTCAAAAGCTTTATTTACTCTCTACAATATACTATGTACATTTAATTAATCTGACAATTTTGACCATCAACTTGATTCTCCATGCATCAAATTCTTAATATTCGCTTGTAAACCCGTGATTACAAAAAACAAACCTAAGAGAGCATAAAAACAATCCAAACAAACATGTACAGAAAGCTTGAGTGTGGTGTACTTGGCCCGCCACTCTTCAATGAACACAACCATTTCAAGAACGGCCGGCAGGACCAGGGCTAACAGCATTCCGGACGTTACACCCACTAATGGAATAATCTCATCCAGATTCGGTATCAGCCATGCCAAGCCCACTGAAAAGAAAGTCTAAGTCAAAATGTTGATAACTCTTCCATAGGTTTGGAGTAAGCCATACACTTACATACGACGAACACTAACGAAAACCGGAACAGATACTCCAAGGCGATGATGTAGGCCCGTTTGGTATTTCGAGCTCGTAGAGGCCGTTTGGCTAGCGGCCAAAGCATTTCCACTATGGGATACTGTTGGATAAGGAAACTTGAATAGACGACACATAACAGCATGCATTTCACGGAAAAGTTCAGTCTGGAACGAGCTCCCTTGTTGAATAATTCGAAAACTTACGAAATTTGAAATCGAGTTTTTGATTATTCCAGAACTTCGGCAGCCTAGCTAGTGCTGATCGCCTATCTGTCTCAAGCCCACTTTGATTACAAGGAGTAGGATGATAGGTACAGAAAAAAGTGTAAGTTTATTCGGCACTCTCCGAGCAATTGATAGGTAATGATTTCTAGAAAACTAGAGAATGATTACTAGATTGGTTCCAAAAAACGGGCCATACTACATTTGCGCCCTATGTGGAATTAGTCCTCCATGGCTCCGGTGGAATGATCATTCGGTGCTTGAGGTAGCTGCATAGGCTTAGGCTTACCCATAGAACTGGGAAAATCATCAGTTTTGGAGATCCAAAAGAATTTTGCTCTACTGGGGAGCCTAAGGACTTCAAATTCAAGAACTGGACGATGTTTTCAGAGTACTCACGGTGTATCAGACAAATTCAGCGTGACACTGCCTTGAACACTGTCGCCATAGGTAATATAACCGTAGAATCCGCATGCCGCATATATTAGCGTCACTAGAGATACACCTGTCGACAGAACACCATTCACACCATCCATATCTTTCGGATGTTTCATTTTATTCTCCAAAGGCAGTACCTAAAATATTCATCTGACCCTCATAGTTGTAACTTTTGAAAATCGGCATATCCTGTGACCCTTCGTTGTAGGCTTGTGCCCTAAGCTATGGGCCAACGTGACACCGAGTGTGGATGAAGCCACATGCCTATTTTTTGGCATACTTTTTGCAGTCCCGCTCCTCCCAGTAAGTGGTAAAACATATTTAAGCCATACTCTTTGTAGATGAGCTGTGATCTACAGTAGCAGCAGGACCTTTGAGACACTTCCAAACCCCCGTTAAGTCAAACTATGTAGGCCCATCTCCAAAAGGGTCTTCACAGGTGACTTTTCCTCCCAGGTGTCATGGTCTCCAGTCTTTCTATTGTAGGTGATTGGAAAGGAAGAATAGTAGAATTATTGGTATTGATAATCCTGAGTATATTGCTTACACTAGACGAGCGAGTAAGCTCTTTCCCTCCCAATTTCCCAATGAAAAAACAGGTGCATGGGGTAGCAAAACTGTTTTGATCACTGGAATACTTATGCACTTACCATTGCCTGTCCTTCTAACGAGTATAGGATCGAGCCTGCAGCCATTACAATTCCATTAATATTGGTAAATGCCGGCAATTTCGATGTTGGAATGTGCTGTGCAGTGGCTAATTCCTGGAAAATCAGAGATTGAATAGTTCCGTTGTGTTAAAGTTCAAAGTTTTTTGAGCATGACTCAATGCCTTCATTTGATAAGTTCTGGAGGACCTCTGACTGTTCGTAATATTTTTTTCATAAAATTCTCGACTCCTCAGTTTCATCTGTAGCTACTTCGTTACTGGTAGAAAGAAAAGTAACTCACATAAAGAACAATGGATAAACTAGCTGTCATGAGAACGTTCCCGAACATGGATACATACGATAGAATGAAGATTCCACGGACTAACGACAAAATCAGAAACGCTGGTAGAGCGAATCCGAAGTAGTCGTTACGGCTGAGGCCATTGTCTGGCCAGAACTTATCGACGATCCGAAAACAGAATCATTACTTTCTCAATCAACACTTGATTTAATTTTTTCTAATTTCTTTGAAATGGGCTATGAAGTTTTAAGTCCATTCACTTTTGGCACGGTACGGTCAATTTGGGACGGTTTGGAAGGAGTGGTGTAGTGGCAAGTGGCGTACTGTCACACTAGCACATGGTCCAGCGATCGAATATACCGAATTGACACCCGGTCAGGCTAATCTGATCTTCCATCTATCTTCCATCTACGAGTTTAATCACTTGGTACTCGACTCGTCTAGGAGGAGAAAAGCACTGGCTCACAAATCGGCTCACTACGGTTAATCTGTAAGCCTCATACTACCCTTCTTCAAAGGGGATGGGAGTTATCCCAAAAATGGGATTGCTCAACGTCAGAAGTTTAATCCTTTCGTCTTTTCTCGTATACTTTCATAGATAACCAATTTCTGGATGAAATAAACTTCTACCAACCTCCTTAGCATGATCGACGACAAATATATAGTAGACACTACAGATTCCGATTTGTAAAAATATTAGGCAGCAGTTTACAAACCACCTAAAATGATCTGATTTATTTATAGAAAGTATTTATTATAGATACCAATATATCTATAAAGAGACCATGTTTTTTGAAAGAAATTATCACAGGGAAGAGGTGCCGATCAAGGTACCTGAGATAACTTAGGCAGAGCAGAGAAAACTCAGTACTATGTAAAAATTACCTGGCGACAAGTCTAAATTTCACTAATGGCTTGTAACTGCTTGCAAAAGCCACCTCAGCCATCTGACCGTAATCCAGTGGACCACATTTATTCCTAAAAATTAATTATTTCGAAAAAGAACGTTTCATGGGCAGAAATGTAGTGGTGGCAAGCGGCCTCGCCGACACACAAACACACATGGCTCAAAGCTCGGATCACACTCGAGCCCAATTCCATCAAGACCATCCAAGTTTTTGTTGTCGGCTACTTGCTACCGGACTCGTCTGGGAAGGAACAAACCTGGACCGGCTGGCTCTTATGGCCACCATAGATGAACTTGCCATATGAAACCTTTTAAACGTTTCTGTTATCACCATAGTCGGTGGATTTTTCGAGAAATTACGAAGCTTATACTTTCGACCTCAAAAATTGATAATAACCTTGTTAAACTGCACCTTTTGCACAGAAATTGAGCGCATTTCACAATTTTTACCATACATATAATTGATATAATGCCAAGCAGGAAATCGACACCAAACGAAACCTGAACAGCCACCAACCAATTTTTTGATTGTTTAGGAAACTATTTAGATTGAATTGAATTAATAAACTTCTGATATAGTTTTACACAAGTAGAATTGGACGGGTTGCATTAATTTTGAATGTGTAACAGGAGGAGAAGAGAAGTGCTCGGAGAGAAGGGAAGATATAGTTCAGTACCTTTGTTTGAAGGTTCTTCAATGCTACCCTTCGCAATAGCAACTTTGTATGGGGGGAGGTGAACTGAAAGAGGGCAATGTACTGTGGGAGGGGGAGGCAGAGAATCGGGTTCACTGGAGGCACATTGGGGACAAAATGACTGAAAACCGATCAAATGATAAATAGTCATTGTAACAGGGTTATTGGGTTCCTATGAGAAAGAAGACCATGACAGCAAGGCTACGACAAAGTCCATGGCAGCAAGACCACGAAGACCACCATGACAGCAAGGATTCCAAGATATAGGAAAGGAACAAGGAGGGCAGGGAAGGAAAAACGGAAAACTAAATACTCACCCAGAGACCGCCCTGTTTGAATGCCAGTGGTAAGCTGAGACATCCTGGCCCCACCATTCCTTTCATAAGATTAACCAAAGCGAAGGTTGCTCTGAAAAAGCCGATCCTTGATCCAAAGACTACTTGAATGCAATCCTTACACTGCTTACGATATCTTCTTTTCCTCTTCTTCTGGCTTTTTTTCTGATACTTTGATTACGGAAGATTGGTTCGATTTACTCGGTAACCGTTGGTCGATATCACTTACTGTGGATGAGAACGTCATCTGAAAAATCTTCAAAATTGACCTTTAACTTTCAACAAATTCTTGTTTCTCAATTCGAGTACGTGTAGAAGTCGAGTGCATGGCACGACATGAGTGGGATAAATAAAACAAGGAATCGGACTGAAAATTAAAAAGTTTTCGAGAAGAAGGTATTAGAAAAAATAGCAATACGAGCTGTAAAAATGATACCGAGTGATGAAACTTTTTTGATCTTTTGGGATAAGCCACACACAACGCTTATGTGGGCATGAAGTTTGATGGTGGGACTTTATTGTGAAAACGGTTTAATTAATAACAAAAATATCAAATGGGACGTAAATTATGAAGATTCCGAAAGTGAAAGAGAAAGGGAATTGATCCGCTGCAAACGATGGCGCTCTTTAGAGATCGTCCGCGTGTATAATGCGATTCCTTAGTGATTTCAAGCCTGTTCTTCTCACAAATTGAAAAGATATGGAAAAGAAGCGACAAAAGGGTTTAAATCTTTCGTTGAACTGCCATTGTTCTTGCCACAGAGAAATGATGACTCACAGACCTACCCAGGCTCCTTCACCAAGAGTTGGTTAGATGCTGGGAGAGGAACTTTCCGATGTTCCGATGTTTCAGCACTTAGGGTACTTCATAACTTCAAATTCAAAGCTTAATCAATGATCACGCTTACGCGGCAATTTACCGAATGAATATTGAAACAACAATTATGTTGCCACCATTCGGGCAAACAAAACCATCAACTTCTTGTACTCATGTGGCTAGAAAGTAGAGAGCGGCTCATTATGAATATCGGTAGTGCAGGATTGAGTGCTAAGAAATTCCAGCAAAGCGTAAAAGTGATTCCCGTTTGCTTCCCATGCCCTCTTCTCCGCTGGATTGCGTTATAGGAAAGTGTATGTGCTGTTCCCTACAAACCCCTTTTTGGTTATACTAGTCAGCGCCCCCAAGTCTGTGAAGTGGAACTTGAGAAAATAGCGTGGCTGAGAAGTAAAAGCTATCTTGTTCTGATATGGGATAATTCTGCACGTGAAAAAGAATCGGCAGAGTGGGAGCCCCCTTTGGCAGCCCTATTAATCGTTGGGGGCCAGAAATGGAGAATGAGGATGGAGGTGTTTCCATCAGTAATTTCGCCATTGGTACACATATTACCACGAAGTTCCATTGAATGATAAAATTAGATCGAGAAGTAAATAATAAACAAGTAAGAGTAAGAGGAGGTGGACGTCTCATGATCATAGCTATCAGCTGATGTTTGACGCCAAAACAGCTCTTCAGAGGACTTGTATATCTTTTTTCCTTGGAATTCGCTTTGAGTCTGCGCGCGTATAATCGATATCTAACTTTGTTTGAGATGTGGCGGGTACAAAGGCGAGGTACTGTTCGAATATAGTCTAAACCTGTGAGTCACACTATGGGGATACAATGTACGCTCCCATTTTGTCAAATTTTGCTAAAAAAATTTTAATTCAAAAAAATTCCAAAATTTTGTTTAGAGTATAAATTTGTGGTGATGCCACTGCAACAGTTACGTATGAGCTTCAAAGTTCGATCATCACTCATAGGAATCGGACAATTAAGAGCTACGGTGGAGTGGGAACCTCCACTGACAGCCCTATGAATCGAAAAACTCCGAATGAGCGCATTGAACTGGTGAATGACGTGCACAAAAGGATTATGGCAACAAAACAGGACATATTTGGAAGGGTAAAACCTGGTTCTGTGACAAGAGTAAATGTTCAGGTCTGCGACCAAACAAGTAATCATATCAAGTAAACAACGTCGCCTATCAGCGGAACGATAGTGACAGTTTTAAAACTTGGGCATTGGACGTATTGAATGGAATTCGCCAAGGAAGAATACGGTCATCATCCGTTGGCAACCGCTATATATCCAGTTCCCATTGATAATAATAGCCGGGCACAACCTGATCACAGTTTCATTCCGAGGACCGTCTTATGAGCGAATAGCTGAAAATAATGCTATTTGAGGATGCCTGTAGTTGATTTCCTAGCTCATTGTTCTACTGCTGTCATCGAAAGTCATCTTTTCACCGTCAATTTGTTTTTGACCGAATTAGCGTAAATCAGAATATGTTGAAGGTCTTAATGTCTTGCAGCGTTGATCAATCTCATTCCAAAAATATGCGCCCCTCATCGGATTCCCTTTCGGATCGTAGCTAGCCAGTGTACAAATTCATACTGCCAGGAGAGTCTGGTACTAACCAACTGAACCCGGAGATATGAGGGTTTGGTTAGCTCGCACGGGTATCAATCCTGTGCTTGATTCAGACATTGCGTGATGTGAGCCACTTCCACCACTCGTCCAACCAGAAAATGTTATTATCCCAGATATAAAGTGTGGCAGTGGACAAAGATGAGTCATGGAAACAACCTTATGCGAGAGGGATATTTTTTAGATGTTAATTCAGGTAACTTTACATGATGGAGTGGTCAAAGAGCAACTGGCGAATAGTGATGAAAAGAGAAGCAACACCTCGCTATATTTCTCTACTACGATTATGGNCAATAACTTCGCTCTGCTTCTGGTCCCGTTTGGATTTCCTCGGTACTTGATTCATATTGGCGTTTCCTTGCTGCACTCGTGAATTTATATCGCAGCCAGTTTAATTCTAAGAGAGCAGTAGAAATTTGGAAGTAGTAAAAGAAAGTAATGGAGCAGAGCTATTGAAGCGTACTGTTTAAAGTGGTCAGGCCAGCTGCGGCTGACAATGTGCAACAAAGGAATGTCGAACATTAGTTGAGATAAGCTTGCCTTTGTTATTTGGTTCCCATTTGATAAGTTGGTGATGGATCGAAGTTATCTTTGGTATAACAGTCTGGGAATTATATCATGAACAGCTGCTTAATTATAAAATTAATCCCATCAGTCCTATAACGAATCATATGAAGTTTCTGCGATAGCGCACTTACGAGTCCATGAATAAACAGTTAAATAAATAAATAAATAAACAAACAAATATGAGGATGTAGGCCATACGCTATACCAAAAGCAGAGTTCGCAATGATTGTAAGCGCCTTTTCAGTAGAATTTTGGAAGTTGTGGCGCACAACAGCTCACCGGCGGCAAAGAAAACAGAAGATTAGAGGAAACCGAAGAAGAATTGAAGACCTCTCAATATAGACCTTTTCTCGATCTAATGATCAGAGATAAGACTGGACGAGATTTTAGCGACTAAAGGTATGTTTGGACGTGATTACTATGAGAGCAGGGTTCTTACCTTAGCTACTACAAAGTAACAACGGTTTGCATTCATAACAAAAGTGCCCTATTTCGGATGGTATCGAATTCTACACGACCTCTTCGGAATCGGTTGTTAAAGCCCTCATTGTGCACTGTCATGGCCGCTTGTAGATTAGGCTACGTTCTAGTGACCTTCTAAGGAGGCTTATGGGGCCTTATCTGCTAGAAAAGCGGCATGTACGGGACGCAAGTAGATTTCTAACATGATCAAGAGAAGAACAAGAGAAAAGGTTCCAAAAATATGTTTAGGCCAAATCTCTTTCCAAATTCGGACACTAAACGAATGGCAGACTTGCTATGAAAAAAAGGAGAGAAACGTTAGCTCAGCCATATTCAATTCACGAACGATTCAACTGGTAATGAGGAAATTTCCCAACATGCCTTTTCCTTTTGTCTTTCTGTCCTTATTCCCAACAATAAAGGGGGATTAAATTGGGAAGATTTTTAAAAATTGATGAGAAAATCGCTAGTAAAGTCTAGAATTTCTCTACAGTGGCTCTGCAGTGAGCCCAGTTCCCACGTAATAATAAAACTTTGACGTCAGTGATACAGGCGACAACCTCTTGATGGGTTTGCGAATCAGCCATTGCCGACCATACAAATTCACGTTACTTTATGCTTCAGAATGCGTATAAGCCATGAAATTGTAACACATTTTGAAACAGACAGACCAGCAGGTTCTCGAAATCACGCTTTTTGTTCGGAAGGCAGTGAATTCGAATGGGCGGAAGGTCTCATGTCATTGGCAAAGGGCCAAGAGTGGAGGTGGCAATGGGAGTGTCTTTTTTTTTCGTGGATCAGACCGGATTTAGATCAGATAAGGTGACGAGCTTTTAGGTCGTTTCAGGTAGTTGTCACCTAATGAGTAAGCAGTTGTAAACAAACACAACCGCTTCTCGAAGCCTTTACTCGCAGATGCTGCATATCAATTGAAAATCTTAAGAAAAATATGATTACTAGAACTGTGAAAGAAAAACTGTTCTTTACAGAAAAGTTTACGAGCAAAAAAAAGTGCATCGCTTCCGTCCTGACTCTTACATACCCCACTGATATCAGTGGCCGCGAGGTGATAAGCTCGTACTGGTTGAAAGGTTTGGAATAGCAATTCAAGCAAACTACTAAAAAAAAATGTTTTAGAAACAATTTTCTTGATTGGACCCATTTTAAAGAAGCAATACTCCTCGTTACAGGTTTCAAGACAATTTCGTAAAAATGTAATTATTATATAAACTAGGGAGGAGCCACACATGAAGAGCATCGTTACAAGTTCCGGAAGAACTCTTGGAAGAAAGACGACATCTTACTGCAGCAAGAAAATGATTATGGGTTCTGATCTGGGTGAGAAAAAAGAATCGGTATAGAGCCGTTGAAGAACACTATCACGAGAAAAAAGGAAATATATTGTTGAAACGGCCTTAACTTCAAAACGCCTTAGCAATGAAATCACATAGACTTCTTTTACCTTCCTGGAAGAGGCTTAATGATTCCTTCCTGCAGAGAGAAAATGAAATATATATCAAACAAAGAATTAGTCAATACATGTAGGATGTATTTTTCCGGAAAAATTGATGGGAGGGGCTCAATTTGCGATGATTCAGAATCACGAGGGACGCCTTAGAATGAGTTTTCATTTGAAAAAAACCATAGCCTGATTACTTCCGTGGGTGTTCGAGACATTTTCCGAGTTGCACCACGTTAAAGTTAAATCCCACCCCGCGACAGATACGGCGCTGGCGTGACGAGATTATTTGTAGGACACGAAGTAGCGCTTCACGTGCGTGACGGCAAGTGGAGTTCTCGCAGCCACCCACCGGTCCACTCGTGGCCGTTAGTCTGTGAGCGAAAGTCCCTGGACCCGTGGCCGAAACGGCTCACTCCCCAGGGGGGAACCGCAAGGGAATAGTCCCAGCAAAGTAACGCTCCCCATTGAACAGCATAGGGCTTACTCTGTCGGTCTCGCTATTTTAGTACATCGGCTCCGATCCGGTAGCCAACTGTAATAAGTGGCCCTAATCGGCTTTTTTCGAGCGGTGAAACCCGTTCCATAAGCGCGTAGAGGATCTGATCATGTTTGGCGGAAATGAAGCGGACTCGCCTATTTGCAAATTTAGCCTCTATGCACCTATGGAATGGCAATTTCGAATATTTTCGAGAACTGAATCCGAAAATTTGAGTCCCTCACTTCTGGCAGAGCAAAACATGAGGTTCTCAATTAATCCTTTTTCCTCGAAGGTGTTCAAGAATCGTTTCCCTGTCAGTTTTTGCCACGACTGACAACTTATTTCGACCCCTTCCCTGGAAGAGTTTCTCTTTCCAAAGTATGGGAGAAATTGTCTCCTGATTAGATGGTTTCTGTAAGTTTTCTACCTCTACCCTGACCTCAACAAGCTCTTCGATTTGCTCAATAAATGGCATGACGTCATTGAACGGGACCCATATATCACCACTTAAGAGTTTCACATCGAAGCCTGAGCAAACAAATCCGATGTTCAGTTGCGTTCTCCCCAATCACCTCCTCGTCCTAGTCCTCCTACTATAGATTTCAGGCATCCATTGGCTGGAAAAGGTGGTCGAAATGCCTAAATTGTGGGACTGATGGAAATTACCAATAGGAATCTGTTTGAAGGATTGCTGAACCTCTCATACATGGATGGATAGAGATTCACATGCCCCTCTCAATCATGTAGCTCCCTACCACCCCTCTTACTTCCGAAGAGTTTCTCTTTCCAGCTCCATCGTTACTTTCCTTCACACATGATTGCTTAAAATGAGACCCCTATATAGGAAAATGGAAAAATCATCTGCTCTCATAGGCATATTTAAATCATATTTGATAACGAATTGCTAGGCAGCGACCCTGAAGAAGTAGAACAGATGATACATCTACGTCCCGTTTACTCCCTTCTTCGAAATTCCGGTGAAGTCTCAGGGTTTTTTCACATGCCCTGAGACTTCAACGGAGCGGCATTCTTAAAAGCTAACTTTAGGTGTGCGGGTTTGAGGCTGTGGGATCGAATTCTTGGTTAACATCCTCAACGAGATAGAATTCCTCATTGACAACCCCATAGGCCACTAGAGATCATTCTTTCGGAGCCAGTGAATGGGAACTCTCGTTTAGGGAGATAAAGCCCAGACCCGAACATCGGCCAACCGCTGCAAGTCAGCCAGCAACGTACGCATTCGATTCTCCACCACGATATTGAATGGAAATCGAGTGCGTGGCGCATTTCTTGGTAGGGATTAAGTCAGCCAAAACTATCCTTCGCCCTCGTTTATTACAGTAACTGATCGGAATGGTGTGAAGTACAGAAGTCACCAAATGTTTGAATCTTCATTGACATAATTAAGTGAAAAAAGACGACAGTGTTTTTCTAATGATGCAAATGTCCAGAATGTTCAGTTCAAATTGACAGAACCACTTCTTTGAAATTTCTTTCATGAATATTGGTGTATAGAAGAGCCTCTTTTTCGAAACCTAAAAGAGAACGTCATAGGAAAACAACCTGTCGAAGTGAGGGATCTCGAAGTTAGAGTGCGCCATGTATCCGTATGATGAATGCTTACCATCAAGTGCTTTCTTCGTCGACTTCTCGCGAACGCTATAATCGATTGCGGTTTCCAAATTTGATTTTTGAGGAGTATCTTCTTCCCATTCATATTTCTCAGAAAACGAGTAGTTTTCGCGCTTCATTGCGCCTATGAACTGGAAAAGATGTCTATCATCATCCCTGAAGTAGATGGAGAAAAGGGTCACAGTTGAAAATTGTCGGCTCCACAAACCCAGTTGTAAATTTTGTAATAGTCCGGCCGATCTTGATAAGCTAACGTTCTCAGGTATTTGGCGATGTGTACGAATTCTGGGGGGCAATCCTAAATGGATAGGGTTGGTGATCAAAGCATCCACAGAAAGTGATCATATGTTGAAGCTCTCATTCGGGTCTTCGGTTGAGCAGGTGACCTAATCGTGTTGGAATCTCCAAATGGCTTGGGTAAAATGGAATCGGATTCCGCGTTCCTTATCACCTCTGCCCTGTATTGCCCACTTTCCTCATCGCTCACCCTCACCTCCGATGTTGGATGAGAATACATAGCGTCTTTGGAATAATCCATCGCTGACTACGCGGCCTTATCGTATAACGGCTCACCTTAAATACGTTCTCATCTGATTCCCTTTCCTTCACTTTGATAATATCTTTCTCGACGGTCATGCGATTCCATGGCAAACCAACGTACAACTCGCCCAGCATGTAAATCATCGCCCACAGATCATCCACACGTCCCTGAACAACGACTGTTTAATACCAGCTACTCCTGCATCTCCTGCCTCTCCTTCTGCCCGTGCTTATGAAAATGGGACATCATTCTTACAGGTGCAAAATCGATACTCTTTCTCTGGTGCAGTGCTTGAAAGTAGTTTGGGTGTACGGCCTTATCACTTTTGAAGAGCAGAAAGAATCAAAGGTTTTCAGTGGGCCGAAGAACGGCAACGGAAGAGCCCTCATTCAGATTAAACGCTTCTAACGGTTCTTTGTGTTCCATGGTTTCACTTTCACAAGAACCCACTCGTTCCCTTATAGTTGACTGTTAAGCTGGCCTCACCTGCTCAAAGCGTCTGTGCACGCTGAGCGAGCAGTACCGTAACGTTCCACGCAGGAGCACGTTTTTCCTTGGTTTTCGCATTGCAATGCGTTTACCGTCACGGACCACAAAGTTACGAACCATACCTAAACCAGTGAGTTCGCGCGCAGTTCTCAGGGTTTCCATTTTCATGTGTAAGGCCTTTATCGGCTACAGCACACCCCACAGGCCGAACCTTGCCTAGCGGGTAACTCGGCATAAATCGACCCTGGGCTGCGTTACAGTCGATAGAGGAATATTTGGAGATCTTTTACGCAGCACTCACCGTAGTCAATAAGAAATATGACTCGTCTGTCCCGTCCACTAGCCCCATTCATCATGTTTCCTGGTTTGACGTCACGATGAACGAATCCAATCTCATGTAACTGAAAGGATGACTGTCATGTTCAAGTCGGGTTCCTCGAAAGCAGAACTTGTTATACCCCTACAAACCTCCATTACTATCAACCGATAAATCCCAGAGGTGTCGTTTCCTTCAAGTTAGTCCTACAGCGTTATTTCGCTATCAACACGGGTTCCTCTGGGAGGTTTTCCAATCGTGAAACCCTCATGTTTTCCGAGAATGTGATACAATCACACTAGGGGCCATTGCTGCAGGACAATAGCAAAAGTCTCCGGCTTCACGTCATGTGCCCTGTTATCCCATATAACCCTGGCAATCTGTCTTGTGGCTGGGCCACGGCACTGAACGCACCATGTCATCAGCTTCGGGACACATATAAGTGAAGCTTATCAGCATATTTAAGAGGTTAGCCGTACCTGCTTGATTGCATAAAGTGCATAAATGGCTATTCGTAAAATGGTGCTTTCGCCAAATCCATCAGGTGTTTTCTTCTTCAAAGACATCAAATCCGAACCACATATTGTCATTACTATAAAGCTGAAA